AGACCAATAGGCAAAAAGTAAGGATCAAGCTCCGAAGGCTTTCATTTTATATTTTTATTGAATAATATAGAATACTTAAAATTAATTTGCAATTTCTATTTTAATTTTTTTATTTTTGAACTTGCAAATTAAAAGTTTAGAACAATTATAAAAAAATATAAGAAATAGTACATCACATGCTTTGCATCATTTTTGTAAGTTCATCCATGTCAATATGAGATTCTTGGTTTCCGGCATTGCTTGAATCGGAACCATAAACCATTATATCTCCAATTTCTTGGTCCTCCGCTTCATCTACCTCATCACGCCCTTAATTTCACCGTTCTGATCTTATCCAATCTCTGAAGCACACTATAATTTTCAAAGCGTTACTGCCCAATGAATGACGAGTATCTCCTAGTTGCTGCCTTGCTTGGCTAAATGCGCGCTCTGATGTGACTGTTGAAATCAGCACATTTAGCATGTCTCGAGCCTTGGCTGAAAGAATAGAAAATTAATTTTAGTTTCTCCTCCACCAACCCAGCGGTAGAAATTCCTTTGTGGAGCTCTGGTGACTTTTGCAAGTAGAATTGGAGTTCATCACAAATATTCCTGCTACTGGTTTCTTGATGCTCTCCTAGTGTAGACCAAATCAAATAATCTTCAACACCATCATTATCATCCAAAGCGCCGGTCCCAGAAGTTGAAACTGAACTTGAAGGAATATTTGCATCTACAGCAGAAGAAGATCAACAATGTTAGCATAATAATTATATAAAGTTTGTAAATGCTTGTGTAGATCAGAAATACAAGTTTCAATATCAGGAGTTTCAGTTGGTCCAATATCCATATAAGCATATAAAACAGTGATTAATTGGCGACAAATGGCCATTTGATATAAAGGTTTAAAATAGTACCAATTAGGTAAATAGGGGGAATTGGGTAGAAATATTTTTTAAATTTATATAACATAGATTCAACAACAGAAGTATATCCTTCTTTCTTCTTCAAATTATGGAGTAAAAGAGAAATTTCAGCAATATGAACTAAACTATTTGCAATAGTAGGATAATAAGCTCCAGAAAACTCAAGTGTAGCCACATAAAAAATTTGTAAATTTTTTACAACATCTTCAATGACATCCCAAGTTCTAGATGTTAACAAACGGTTAGGATCGGTACAATGAGAATTAGCAACTTCAGTTATAGGTATTTTATATTTATAACAAAATCTTAAGAATAAATAAGTATAATTCCACCTAGTAACTATTTCTTCGGGCATGAGTCTTGATTTTAGTCCATATTGTACATATTTTTCCTTAAATGCATTTAATCTAGCACTTCTATTATATCCCTGAATTACACTAACAGCTCTTCTAACTAAAGTGATGTCATCTCTAAATAATTCAAGGCCACTCTTCACGATTAAATTATAAATATGACATGCAGATCTAACATGAAATATTTCAGGAAGTGGTGGGTGTAGATGCAATTTTAATATTGTAATAGCAGCATTGTTGTTAGAAGCATTATCAAATGGCATACACAAAACTTTTTCTGCAAGATTATAAAATATAGCAACTTCATGGATAGTATTACTTATAAATGCACCAGTATGACTTTGATCTTCATCATATTTAAAAGCATTAATACACTTTTTCATACAAAAATTATCATCTATCCAATGGCATGTAACAGTCAAATAATCTTTTTCATTTACAGCACGACCAATATCAGAAGTAATAGAAACTCTACAAGAAAGACTAGCGAACAAATAACGTATATATGTGTGATATTGTCCAAAAAGCCTGAAGATATCAGCTCTGCAAGTACTTATAGGAATACCTTTAAACAAAGAGTTATAAATTCTTTGAATATAAGTAACAAGATATGGTGAAGCAGCAAAACTAAAATGTAAACAACCTAAAATAATCATTTTAGCTAATTCTTCCCGGTCTTTCTTAATATCGTATTTACCCATTAACCCCCCTGTACCTGGGTTAAGTTTTTGTTGCCCATCTTCCTCATCTACTCCCCAATCAATAGGGTGGTTCTCTACCATGAGCCTACGAAGTTGACCCGTTCCCCCTCCCTTATCGGTCTCATTTTTATAAACATCCTTACAAATTTTACATCTTACACAATTTTTATATTCTCTAGTCTTTCAAAAAAATTCCAACACTTACTTCTTAATCTTCGATTCCTCTTTATAGGGAGGGGAAGCCTACTTGTATTACCACGAACACCGCCCCTAATATTTTGAGTTTGACTAGTATTACCAGATGTAGCTGGTGGTGTTTCAAGATTATCATATGATTGAATATCATCTAAATTATCATCTAAATCATCATCTATACCATAATTTTTTTGAAGTCGCTCATAATCTACATTTAAATTTTCAGGTAAACTTTCATAAATATGTGTAAAGCTACTAGAAGAACCAGCACCACCTCTTGATTTTTATAAAGTTTTACTCTTACTACTGCCACCCCTACTAGTGCACGCTTTTTTGGCTGCTCTTAATAAATCCATTAAGTAAATTAAATTAATAATTTTAAATAATAAAATAAAAATATACACCAAAGAAGAGAAGAGATGGAACGAGTGTACCGGGATTCTGGATGCCGCACTAAATTTGATATCAAAAATCAAAATGAACTTCAATTGATGAACCGATACTTGATACCACACTTCACTTGAATACTTGATATTTGATAATAATAATTTTGTAATGGCTAAACTAAATATTTGATGAAACTTGAAATAATAAGTAATTGAGAATTTAAGAACAATAATCAATATTATGAAGAGAGAATTAGAGTAGTAAGAGAGTGAATTGTGAGAAAAAATAAAGAAGAATGGATGCTATTTATAGTTTTTAAAAGGTTAAAATTATAATTTATCAATTATTAGGGGTGGGGGCTATTTTCTTAAGGGGAAACGCCGAAATGGCCATTTCTGCAAGAAAAAGGCCGTTGCCCAACGGTCCAGAAAATTAAAAAAAAAAATTGTAACGAAAACCGGGCTGGACCGAGCTGTAGCTCGGTAAAATCCCGTTAACGGGTAATCGGGCTAAGCGGATTCGGGTGCACCTGTAACCAAAAAATGTTCGTTCAAAACCTGCTCCCCACCCAACCCGTCCCAGCCTGCCCCCAATCCCTACAGTACCGGGCTGACCCGGACTGAACCGGGTTGAACCGCAGCCTGGCCCGTTTAACAAGTTTAGTTTACATATACTAATTAATACAGTAGTGAAATTATTATTTATGTTATTTTTAACTCGAAATAATAGATTAGTAATCACTATACTAATTTATCAAATATTTATCATAAAAATTTCGCTTATACATATTTTTTATAATACGCTGGTGTAAATATTTTTAGTATTGTCACATGCTTCCATAATTATCTTTTTTTCAAAAATGTATCCGTTCATGAAAATTTGACCAGTTTTTTGAAATTTACTTTTTCAAAATTTTCAGAAAAAAGAAATTTTCTCCACTCACAAAACTGCAACATTTTTTTTAAGTGAAATACATCTCCAAATATAATTTCAAATACCATTTTCATCTTAACTTCAAAAACTACTTTTTGTTTTTTTAAGTTACAGTATTTTTGTCCAACCGCCTACTTAATTGCTAAAAAAAATTAGACAAGTATCATCTAAAAGATTCTGTTTTAGCAGCAAACAATGTATGTTCTCAAAGCTTTGGTAGACGCCACTTCGTCTAAAAAGCAGAGATACAAGGAAAAATTTCTTGTATACCTGATAATTACACTTAAAATGAATACAGCCATTTTGGCTTTCATACCTGAAAGCAAAATGAATATCTGAAAATTTTTTGGATACCTGATAATTCCACTTGTCAATAATCTGTACCGATTATCTACGCTTTCAGTTCTATATATATATTAGGATAATATATTCATTTATAGAATTAGTAGGTGTAGTGATGCTTAAAATCTTTAATTACCTTCATCACTACATACACTGACATAAAATTTTAAAATTAAAGTTTCCAATATTTGATGTTTTTAACGGTGGGGGACTGGGGGTTATTGTATGTGGATTGGGTGATGGGGCTGGGACAGCACAGAGAGGAAGTAAATGGAGTAAAAAATGGCAGGAATGGGCACAAAACATGATTTTGGAGATGGGGTCCAAAATTAAAAATCAGTGGTGCATTGTCACTCTTTTGGAGAACTCACGTCTCTATGTGGTCCAAGATTCCTTCTGCTGCATTTCGTAAGCCAACTTTCAAACACATCATTTTTTTTTTATTATAGCAAATGTTTGTGTGCATTTCGACTAAGTCAAACTTTCAACACAGCAACTCGGTGCACGGAGCAGCTCGCGTTCATGTAGGATTCGGGAAGGGCCGTACCCCAAAGGGGTATTAATAGGCAGCCTACCCTACAATGAGTTAAAATAAAAAGGAAGCAGTAATTATGAAGCCTTAAGGATTTTTTTTTCCAGCTCTCTTGAACTTCAATGTTTCTTCTCACAATCTATTGAGCTTATGTTGTTTCATATAGCTTTTAGTCTAGAATTAAGAAGAGATAGAGAAAGACACAGAAAAACTGCACCTTGTCTTTGCATTGTTTAGACATGAAAATTTGTGCATCTGAAAAACTAGGACAAATTGAGCTAACTCCATTTGATTAATAAAGTAACAGTCACAGACTCACAGAGTAAGAAACGTCTACAGTATTGTATTCTATCATATACTCCTACAAAAGACTCGAAAGTTGATCTGAACGTGAGACTTTTACTTCTTTATTCCATCAAAATATCAAATAAACAAACAAAAGCTTAGAAAAGAAAAAAGAAGAGCTAAAGCTACAAATCCACTACTCCATTAGCATATGCAGAAGAAGTGACGTGAAAGCATCAGCCTATGTATATATTAGTTATACACTATACAAAGCAAATCATGACACAGTAATATCATAATTTTTAATATAAGAATAAGCACTTTCGAAATCTTTAATATACCAAACCAAACAGTCGATAAGAAATAATTTCAGCATAACTAATCTCAGCATTATTAATCTCAACATTACTAATACACCCTCAAAATATACTATTCTTATACATAAAGGAGGACTACATAGGAAGTCTTTTTCTGATATAGAGATCCAACTAAGGCTGTTGGGATTTCCATCCAGAATTAAATGTTCTAAACTTGGATTTACTGATGTGGTTTGATAATGGAGCAAAAGAAAAATACAATAAGCTAATACACCTGAGAAATTTCTGTCCATGTCGAAGCTTAGTCTTAGGAAGTGTCAAAATTGCCACATTTCTTCCATTTCTAAATGTAATCAAGTACAATAAAAGAAAGGACACGCCGGTGTACCCACTATGTATGGGGTCCAGAGAAAGACTGTACCAGAAGGGTCTATTGTACGTAGCCTTACCTCGCATTTCTGCAAGAGGCTATTTCTACTGCTCGACCCCTATGACCTCATGGTCATGACAGCAACTTTACTATTGAGGCAGAAAAAGTACCTCCAATTTGCACCAAACAGCAATCTCTTTAAGTAATCAAATGGCATAGCCATCCCAAAATAGCAATTCCACTTGTGCAATTTCTCTAATCATACTTCTCCCTCCAAGAATTAACAAGAAAGAACACCCAAGAAAGTGCTAGAACAAAATCACCAACAAGTTGCCTTGGCCAATCATAAGCCAAATCCTCAAGCTTCCTCTCAAAATACACCCTCCACAATCCCATTGCCACATGAAGAAGGATACAACCCTTAGCAAAAAAGCCCTGAAATTCCCTGTCTTTAACAAAAGATACCATGAATAACAACAACCCAATTACACATAAAAGCAATCCAACAAATGAATCAGATGTTTTTATCACCAATTGGTCATGTGGGGTTGATCCTAACAGCTTTCTTGCTGTTTCAATCCCATGTCCCAATACAGAGATTTCATTCAGATAGAACATTATCAATGTACCACTAGTAGTGGCTATTACTGAATGTAGAATGCATATTGTGAAAAAACCAGATGATCCCATTCCTTCACTAAAATCACTATAACTCAAAGACCCCTTTTCAGATTTTACAAATTCAGAAGCTATTTATCGTCTGTTTTCCCAAAAGATTGAATTTTTAACAAGAATTCAGACTAAAACCCATCTCAGCTACTTATATAACAGTCAATTCATGGCTCAAAAGTTTACTGCATAATCACGTGATTTGAAATTGGGAAGTGAAACTCAAAACACTAGATCATGGTTTTGTACAAAAATTGCAATTTTTACAGAGAGAAGTAAGGTCCAAGTTGGGTTATAAATAAAGACATATTTGTATGCATGTATTGAGAGTATCGAGGGGAATTGAGAAAGAGACAGAATTCAGAGAAATAAGAGATCTGGGATTGGGAATGGAGAGTGTTAGAAACCCTAACGCTAGATTCACGGGGGAAGAAGGCTGGCGACAGCTGGCGATATCTTATTGGTAAGCGTGCTTTTGGAATTTGAACTGACGAGTTTGTTGGATAAATTGGCATTCTATTAGAGGCCAGTAATACTAATAGTGTATTACTTTACTACAGTACTATTTTTTTTTTCTTCAAAATATCTGTAACTATTGGACAGCAACAATTATGTCTTAATCGCAATTAAGTTGGCGTGGACTTTGTGAATTCTTGTTAACCATATGGTCTATTTAGACACGTCTCAATCCAATAGTATTAGTAGAGAAGATGACTCTTTTCATTAGCAGTGATGACTCGAGCTGGGGAAGATTCATCTTCATGCTGTTGCAATAGTAGCTGCTAAAATAGTCAATTTTAGTATGTGAGACGAGGGTCAGCCTTGTTTCCTTTAGACATCCAGTATCCAAAATGCATTGACCCAACTAATTCAAATTCACACAAAGGCCATTGAGAGGGATAAACCTCTTGTTAAGAATGAAAGATCTCAGCCAATGGTTAATCTCAATTGCACATATGAGGGCAGTAACAAAATAAGTCTGGATTTCTGAAATTCTAAAGCAGGTCAGAACTTGATAATCAGAGCTATGTAATAAATGGTAAGCTAACTTATTCAGGCCAAACGTAGCAACCAATAAACAGCAATGCACCAAAGCAAACAGAATTGCAATGGCAAGTATGCATTTACTATCCAATTGATAATTAAATATATCCAATACTTATGGATGAATTTTTTCTGCAATATCTATATAGTATGAATATTTGCAGATCTTGTTTGAGATCTCGACTTCAGCACAAGGCTGAACAATTAAAACGAGTAAATTACCCATAACCAATAAAGGCAATAGTTTATCATTTAGAACAATTATCAGAGACAACAGCAGGATGAAACAAATCAACCACAATCTCAATAATGCAACATTTAGCTACAATTACTACCACTATATATCATGGAACAGATAATACAAGAAGCAAGAACCTAAATTTCCTCTTCATTTAGCTAAGATTTCTGCAGTTTCAATAAGATTTAGCTGACACCAGCAATCGAATTTTTAATTTAAAAAAAGTAAAAGAAATAAACAAAAAACAAACTATAGTCCTGTATTCTACATATCCCAGTCAATGACGCAAATTATCAAACACCTTCAAGGCGACCTACGTTTCAACAATCTCGGCGAAATTCTTGTCGACGATCCAACCTTCTCGTCATCCTTCAAACCCTCCTTCAATTTCTCAGCCTTAGATTTCACCTGATTTACAACTTCAGCAGCATCTTCACTCCTCCGGCTCCTCGTCCTCCTAGCAACAGCCTCCACAGCTCCACCGCTCTTCAATTCACTCTTCTCCGCTACCCTATCAAACTCATCTCCCAGCTTCCTCCCCACGCGCTCCTTTAGTTCAGATTCATCAATCAAAAACCTCTTCCGCTTCAATACATAAGGAGCAGGAGGAGGCAATGGACTTCCAGGAAACGGAGTCAAACACTTTGCAGGGGTTTCTTTGCCGGTCTTCTTCTCGACCTTTTCAAGCTCGGAGCGTAGCTTCTCGATGTTGCCTTCAATGCGGCCCTGAAGACGGTGGCGCATGAAGTTCACACCACCCATGGACCAGTGGGCTTCCTCCGCCCATGACATTAATGGATCAATAACGGAGACTGGTGGGTCCACTCGCTCTTCGTTGGGTTTGTAAAACCGTGGCCTAGGGAGGTTACTACCGTAGAATTTTGCTGGTCCTAGGGCTTCTACCATGCTGAAGAATGCAGACCAAAATTTAGAAGCAAAAAATATAGTTTACCTACAAATCGAAATGAGATTTAATGAATTTCGTTGGCTATTACTTCTGAATTTATAAGTAGCGGCTTAATGTCAATTGGAATGGAGGGAAATATTTTTTGGAGGGAAACTTGGCGCCAAAATTTACCGCGCTGCTCTTATTACAAGGACAGTAGTTGTCACGAAGATTTCTGTAATCTTTGATCAAGGCTGTACGCCTTTGGGCCGAGTTATTGCACATTGGGTCCTTTAAGCCCGTTTTATTTCATGGATTGCACAGGGCGCCCGACGCTTTGTTTTTCTGTTTGCACCCGTACCGTTTTTGTTAAAAGTATTTTAAAAGACTATTTTGCCCTTCTTTATTAAAAGACTACTTTCTCTCCAAGTATACACTAGTCCTCTACTGTCTCTGTCTCTCTCTCCCATTATTCGCGTTTTTGATTTGTTCTTCTCTGAAATCAAACGGTTTTCGTCGTTTTTTTTATTTTTCAACTGCTAGTCGTCGTTGTTCCCACATTACGATTTAATCACAGGTACATTGCATTAACTTTCTGGGTTTTATTTTACGATTTAATTTCTGGTTTTGGTTTTGATAGTCGTGTATTTATGATAAATAGTTTCTTAGGGTTTAGTTTGATAAGTGCATTAGTTTTCCTTTTACGATTGTGTTTTTAGGTTTTTTGACCGAGTGTTTGTGGTGTTGATGAAAATTCCATAAATTTTTCAGTGATTAGACGTCGAAATTTTTAAAAAATTTGAGAGTTAAATAGATGATACTATTAAAGTGTGAAATTTATAATAGTTCAATGATACCTTAGATAGGAGATGAAGTTTTTTTTTCGTGTTTTGGCATTATTTTTGGATTTGAATTTGTGTTTTGTTTTTTTTGTAAAAACTAAAGCATGTTTTTTTGCTGAATGTTTTGTGTTTGTAACTGGTGAACTTGAGCTTGGTGAACTTCAGCTTTAGGAGCTGAAGGTTTTGTTTTTTGTAACTGGTGAACTTCAGCTCTAGAGCTGAAGTTTTTGTTTTGTAACTGTCGAACTTCAGCTTTAGGAGATGAAGGTTTTGTTTTTTGTAATTGGTGAAGTTTTGTTTTGTAACTATCGAACTTCAACTTTAGGAGCTGAAGGTTTTGTTTTTTGTAACTGGTGAACTTCGGCTCTAGAGCTGAAGTTTTTTGTTTTGTAACTGTCAAACTTCAGCTTTAGGAGCAGAAGTTTTTGTTTTTGTAACTGGTGAACTTCAGCTATAGAGCTGAAGTTTTTGTTTTTTAACTGTCGAACTTCAGCTTTAGGAGCTGAAGTTTTATGTTTTGTAACTGTCGAACTTCAGCTCTAGAGCTTAAGTTTTTGTTTTGTAATTGTCGAACTTCAGCCTTCTTAGAGATTGAATTTTTAACTGATCTTTTTGATAATGTCCTGATGTTATTTTTTGTATCTTTTACTTTTTTTGAACGGATGGCACCTAAAGCACCTAAAGATCCTAATGCAGCTAAAGTACGCAAAGCAGCTAATGCACCTGAAGCACCTAGACAATCTATAATACCCCCAGGTCCTTATGTCCCTACTCCTCCACCTACAAGACCAGGGCAAAGATATTTTGAGTTTCGAGATTGGTTTAACTGTTTAGCTTACTGGAAGGGAAACCGCGATTTGAAGAGTTTAATTGTAAATTTCTTGCCTCCTACACAACGGGATAAGCTTAATAATGGTACATTTCGATACATATGGTTATGGAGAATTTCAAATGCAGCATGAAGTTGATTCATTGTCTGTGTCTTTCTCGAATATTCACCAATGATCGAGACTCGATTAGTTTCAAGATTTTTGGCCATGATGTTTCCTTCACCTTTGAAGACTTTCACATTATGTGCGGTTTGCGGATCACAGCACATAATGTTGAAAAACCAATTAATCGAGAGAGCAATATTCCGAAGCGCTATTTTGGTAAGTCCAAGGGTATGACTTTGAAGGATATTCGAGATTTTATGACTCGAAATGAAATTCCAAAGAATGTTGTGAATCACAGGCACATATGCGAGAGTGATGATGATGTTGTGAAGCTTATGGAGATTCTTATTGTAGAGTTTATTTTGTTTGGGAAAAAGACTGAGTCATCTGTGATGGAAGAGTATGCATCTATTGTTGAAGATGTAAGGTTTGTGTTGAATATCCTTGGGGTAATGTGGCTTATGAGAAGCTCATTTACTCACTGAAACATGCATTGGACAAGCAGAACAAATTACATTCAACTGAGTATAAAGTTGGTGGATTTCCATATCCATTATGTGCTTGGTTCTATGAGCGCTTCCCAGATATTCGGGAGAAGTATATAAGAGAGGATGAGTACCTTGATACCCCTCAGGTTCCCATGATGTTATGTTATGTATGTGTGGGAGAGCATAAATATCCCGAACTTTTTGATTTCTTCAGTAGTCATGAAGTAAGTTACTTTTTTTTTGTCTTTGTGTTTATATGTTGATGTATTAGTTTTTTTCCTCTCATAATATACTTTTTTGTATTAAACAGAATTATCGCAACTTTAGGGTATTGGATATAATTCCTACAGAAGAGAATTGAATTCAATGCCTTTAATTGGACAATTACCATGCAGCCGGATTCGTTCAAAGGTACTTAATGCGGTTCCTTCAACTGATGAATCACCACGTAGTCTGAGTCGATCAAAAGAAGCGAATCGAACTTTTGTTATTGGCCAATCACCACGTAGTCGGAGTCGATCAAAAGAAGCGAATCGAACTCCTTGTATTGGCGAATCATCTCGTACCCAGAGTCGTTCTAACCGTTCTACAACTGAGTTTGATGACAATGAATTACTCGACACAATATGTTCTGTAAGTTTTGATGTGAAGTTTTTTGGTTTCGTTTTTGTAAAAGTACAACATGTTTTTGAGCTGAAGTTTTCTTCTATATCTGAATTTTTGTTGTGTGTCTATACTAGAGGGTAACGATGGAGGTTCAAAGGCATGCACAAAAAGAAAGAAGCACGATTGTGAAAGAAGTTTTCGATAAGTTTCAAAAGGATGAGCGATCTGCTATTGTGGATGCGGTTTTTGTAAAAGTAAGGTAAGCTAATTTATAGAGAAGTCTTTTTATTTCTGCTAATGTTATTCAGATTAATCATTGTTAGTAATTTTTTTCTAGGAATTATTCGATGAGAAGTTTGAACAGTTGTTTAAGATTGTCAACAAATCAAATGGAATGGACGATGGCAATTTTGATTTGAGTAACCCTCGAGAATATGATAGGATGAACGATTGTTACGAACATCCATCGGATATTAATGCTGTTGATGATGCATCGGACAAAGTCGCAGATGTAAATAAAGGAAGCGGCTTCTGAAGGCGATCAACATGTTGAAGAACAAGTTGAAGAGGAACGTTCCAGTGCTGATAGATTGAGCAGAGATGGAAATGATGAAGAACAGTTATCAACTGAGAATGTTGGAAGCAAGAAAGGTGCAGATAATCAAGTTGTTTATGCTGAAGAACATGCTGCTCATGATCCATCGCACAAAGTCGCAGATGATAATGCTACACGTAAGGAAGCGGCTGTTGAATGAGATGAACATGTTCAACAACAAGGTGGAGAGGAACAATCTAGTGTTTATAGACTGAGTAAAGATGGAAATGATGAAGAGTTAACAACTGAGAAAGGTGCAGATGGAAATGATCAAGCTTTGGAAAGTGATATTGCAAAAGGCAATTTGTTTGGCGATGGAGATCAAGCACCTGTTGGTACTTTAGAACTGAAAGTGAGTGATGTGTCTAGCACTATTGGTAAAGACGATCGGGTTGCAGGAGCACTAGCTATTTGCATGAAACTTTTAGGTGATGATACACAGGAAATTGTTACTATAGGTATAAAGTGTGAAGTTTATAATAGTTCAGCTCAATATGTTTTTGTGCTGAAGTTTTTGTTTTGTAACTGTCGAACTTCAGCTTTAGGAGCTGAAGTTTTTGTTTTTGTAACTGGTGAACTTCACCTTTAGAGCTGAAGTTTTTGTTTTGCAACTATCGAACTTCAGCTCTAGAGCTGAAGTTTTTGTTTTGTAACTGTCGAACTTCAGCTCCAGAGCTGAAGTTTTTTTTTATAACTGTCGAAAACTGAAGTTTTTATTTTGTAACTGTCGAACTTCAGCTTTAGGAGCTGAAGTTTTTGATTTTGTAACTGGTGAACTTCAGCCATCTTAGAGTTTAAGTTTTTAACTGGTTTTTTTGATAATATCTTGTAGTGAAACTTTCACTACAGGTTTAAATTTTTTCTATGTTATATATAGAAAAACTAGTTGATCTATTCCCCCTCTTTATGAATATGCAGTGGAAGTTCAAACTAGTTGTGCTTCAATTGACACAACTCAAAAACTCTCTGATGATGCTGAATTGAATGAAGGTAGTGTTGAGAAAAACCTTCCAGAGAATACTCCAATGCTCCTCGACATTGGTGCACAATTGAATGAAGCTGGAACTGCTGATATCGACAAAGGCATGCAGCCTGGGGAAACAACAGCGGAAGACAAACGTAAAGGTATTCTATAGATCATAAATTTATTACATTTGATCCAAGTATATTTTTTACAGTTTGAAATGTTACATACTTTATTTTCTTTGTTTTGTTTTTGAATGATTTTTCAGAAAGACTCGAGGCAACTCAAAAAGAATTTGGTGAGCTTGTGCAGCAATATCAAAAAGGAGAAATACATTTATTCACACCTGTTGGCTCACAGACAGGTGTGAAGTGTGTTGGTATTATTTTACAAAATTTAGTCAGTATTATTTAGTTTTTTTTTGCATGAAGATACAGGCATATATGAAGGTAAAGGAAGTGGATATGTTAGAATGCAAACACCATATGTGTCTCAACACTTAGACCAGGTAGTTATTTTCTGCAATTCGATTACAAGCTGTTTTTTGCCTAATGTGTTTTTGTATCAGTTTTATTTATGTTTATATTTTCCTTGCTTTTGCAGATCTCATCTGATGCATTACAACTTCTTCCAAATCCTAAGAGAAGGAAGATTTCCAGTTCTCCTATGTGTGACACCAGTGAT